CCAGGAATAAAGAAGAAAGACGCAGAGCAGAATTGACTACTTGAAGACAGCAACTCCTTCTAAGAGTAATCCTAGCACTCAATGATCAGAGTTTTAGAGTTGTTTCATATGATCTTATTTATACAAAGTATTGAATCGTACTCGAGACAAGCTCTCTGATGCACTCGCAATTAGAGCAGTAATATATTATTCAGGAGCCAAGAGCAAACACTTTAGTCATCATCGGTGAACCGTAAGCCATGAACTTCCCATGGGCGCGGGGTGAGAGCGGCGCGGCGGGCCTGGAGGGGGCGGCGGGGAACGGAGCCGCGGGAGGAGGTGCCCAGACAGCCGGCGCTGCGGGACGCCGGGCTCAGGCACGTGCGGTCTCGCCGCGCTCGCCCCAGCGGCGGGCTGGGCCTCTGACCTCCCCTCCTTGAATAAACTCTGAAACCTACACTGCACCTAAGCACGGGACCGGAGAGAACCCGGGTCGCGATATGTGGGAAAACACAAATGTGCGCTGACTCCCCTCGACATTGAACTTGGCAGAGATAGGGCTGTTCGGCAGTGGCAGGGAGACCCCGCCCCTACCCCGCTTTCTGTCTGTCTGTCTGCGCTTCTCTGCTTGGAAAGTTTCAAGAGTGGAGGTCTGTGGGCTCCTGCGCCGTAACTCGCGAGGAGTGCGTTCCAAATGCAGACCCTGGCCCCAACCTCCGCCCAAGCCGGGGTTCTTGATCCTTTAGTTGGCGGCGCCCCTGAGAACCTGGCGGGATGCCCTGATAGACAGAGGAGGGAGGATGAAGGGAGGCATCTTGGGAGGCACTGGTTCTCCTTGAACCTCACAGCCCTAAGGAAGGGGTGTGGAGGATCCAGGGCAGAAACATCCCCCTCCCAGGAACAGGTAACATCAGCATTGCAGTCCCCTGGATACTCAGGGGCCAGGGAACAGAAGCCTGTGCGCTGGACAGCGTTTCCACAGAGGAGGTAGGGAACCTTCAAGAAAGAGACAATTCATAGACAGTGGTGAGAATGCAGAGGTTGAGAAAATGGCCTTGTTCTCCGAGTGGTAGAAAGGTCCATGCTGGGCTCTTCAGTGTTCCCTGGTCCCGGGCATTCTCGCCCAACACGGGGAGTTTAGTTACAGAGTGATACACTGCTTTGCAGAGAGGCAGCTAGCTGATACAAAATGCTGCACGCTCCCCAGTTCTGCTCCACAAACATGTGTTTGTTTGAATCAGTGCATTGGGGAGAAGATGAATTTACTTTTCTCTCCAACCAGAGGAGACCGTAATGGCTACTTTATGGCTGTTTCATTATCCCAGTGTTCCCTCTAATTTTTATTTTATTTTTTAAAAAATATTTATTTATTTGAAAGGCAGAGTTGCAGAGAGGCAGTGGCAAAGAGAGGGAGAGAGAGAGGTCTTCCATCTACTGGTTCACTACCTAAATGGCTTCAACAGCCAGAGCTGAGCCCATCCGAAGCCAAGAGCCAGAAACTTCTGGGTCCCCCACAGGGTGTAGGGATCCAAGGACTTGGGCCATCTTTCTCTGCTTTCCCAGGCCATAGCAGAGAGCTGGATCGAAAGTGCAGCAGCTGGGACTCGAGCTGGTGCTATATGGGATGCTGGCACTGTAGGCGGCGGCTCTACCCGCTATAGCACATCACCAGCCCGGGTCCCTTTTCTTTTTGCTAATTCTCTCTCCTCCACTTTTTTTTTTTTTCCAACTTCATCTCAAGGCACAAATTTCCTGCTTAAGTCATAATTTCTTCCTACCACTGGAGTCCCCCTTCTGTATTCTAGTGTCCCCAACACTCTTGTGCCACAATTCTGATTCTTTCCCAGTATCATTCTTCCCACAGCAACAGAACAGGCTCTATGTGCTGTGCTAGTGACCCTGAATTTAGGAAAGGCTTATTATTGAATGCTGCATTTTGTTTCTACAAGTATAGGTGGGAGGGATATATATTTCAGAATGTAGCAGCCCTATGCATTAGAATCCCAGGGCAGCTTAAGAAAATATATGTATCCCTTGAATTGAACCCTAAAGGATTAATGCAGATGATCTGTGGAAAATTTTTGAGAAACACCTGTCTAGGCCTCTATCACCCCAGTGAGAGTATGGTGTATCATAGATATGAGATTAACATCTTCAGTGTACTTCAGCATTACCCTGAAAATGGACTGTATTTCGGCAAATACTGTCAAAGCCTTGGCAACTGAAGAGGCTATCATCATGTGGAGGTCAAAGCGAGGAGTGGCTCAGGCAGGGAAATTCTGCTTTTTAGGCATTTAGTACTTAAACTTTACTATTACCTTACACTTTTTTTTTTTTAATTTGACAGGTAGAGTTATAGACAGTGAGAGAGAGAGAGAGAGAGAAACAGAGACAGAGAGAGAAAGGTCTTCCTTCCTTTGGTTCACTCCCCAAATGGCTGCATCGATCCGAAGCCAGGAGCCAGGTGCTTCTTCCTGGTGGGGTGCAGGGGCCCAAGGATTTGGGCCATCCTCCTCTGCCCTCCCGGGCTACAGCAGAGAGCTGGAATGGAAGAGGAGCAACCGAGACTAAAACTGGTGCCCATATTGGATGCCGGCGCCTCAGGCGGAGGATTAACCAAGTGAGCCACAGTGCCGGCCCTTACCTTCACTTTCACCACGTTATTATACTAACGGGCATTGTTGCTGTTTCTTTTCTTTTTAAAGATTTATTTATTTATTTGAAAGTCAGAGTTACAGAGAGAGAATTAGAGGCAGAGAGAGAGAGAGATCTTCCATTCGCTGGTTCACTCCCTAAATGGCCACAATGGCTGGAGCTGAGCCGATCCAAAGGCAAGAGCCAGGAGCTTCTTCCAGGTCTCTTACGCAGGTTCAGGGGTCCAAGGACCTGGGACATCCTCTACTGCTTTCCCAGGCCATAGTAAAGAGCCAAATTGCAAGTGGAGCAGCCAAAGCATGAACCGGTGCCCAAACAGCATGCTGGCACTGCAGGCGGCAGCCTTATGTGCTATGCCACAACACCGGTCCTGGCTGATGATTTTTTTTAAACAAATACTATCTTTTTATTCTGACTTCATTTTTAATTTACTTTTAATCACAAGTTATTATCTCTACAAATGTTTAAACATAAGTATTAGAAATCTAGCCTATCTTGACCCTGCTGTGTCCAGCAGAATTAACAGTCTTGGATATGTAGGATTCCAAAATGTTTCTATGGACCTGCAAACACCTTTTTTGTCCTTAGAAATAGACAACACGATGTCGATGTTTCTCGGGTGCCTTTCCTTAACAGTACCTGGTGATCTCTCCCATTCCTCAACACTGTTCTTCCTGAAGAAGCAAGTTCCGCAAGTCAAAAACCCTTCCGAGTTCCTGCAATCCCAACGTGGTGGATGGTGGGATTATCAACATGGGGAGGGCTGCCAAGCTGCCGGCACACAGGAGTAAATTTAGGCTTTCACCACAGAGGGGGTGGGGCCCTCGTTAGAGAAATCACTGTGGATAAAAATCTGCCCCCTCCAAGGCATACCAGCAGGGGCATTGAGATCCCTTCCTCTCTACCTCAAATCCAAGACCTCCCTCTCGTGGAGAGCCCATTGAACAACTTATCGGCTCCAGCCCTGGCTGTGTTGTCACCTCCCCTTCCTGCCGAATTCCAGGGGGCGGTGTCAACCTCTTCTGTCCCATCTCAAGCCCCTTGCTCATCTATTCCTCAAAGCCATTCTCTGCCCACGTGTACTTCCTCCCTAACTCCTACCCCCAATCTCACTGTATTTCCCCCTCCCACCTAGGAATTCGGACTTTATCTTAGAACCAGTCCTGGCCCAAAGTCTACTATCTCTGTCTTATTGTTTGGGAATGGCTGTCTCCATGTTTTCCAACTTTTCTCTTGTCCCAGTCTTACCATAAGAATAGCAAGGGAATGGTAGTCCCATCCTTTTGGGCTCCCTGCTTATTGTGAAGCAAATTAGGTATCCCACCCTTCTGATGGCTCTTGAGCAAGGCAGACAGGAAAATCAGGTTTGGGAACTGCGACAGCTGCCTGAACTTTTGCTTCAGAAGCTGCCCCACGTGGCTGATAGACTATGATGTCATGGGCCTAAGGTATTCTTAGGAAAAAAAGGCAACTGTAACTAATTTTTCTTTGAATCTAGGAAGATCACTGCCTTTAAAAATATTGCCTTGTAACTTGCTGAACTTATTTTGCAATTTATTTTAACAGGTTTCTGGGTAATCAGTACTCAGTGAAACAGCAATGGGTAATTAGTACTTGTCTTAGATGAATTCAATTTCAATTAAATTCAGATAAAAATATATCAGCATCCTAAGTCATTTAGGTGTAACTGCTAATTTAAATTGGGTAAAAGCGAATAAAATAAATGTGTCTAAATGTAAACTTTTGTATATTCAACATGTTATATTCTATAAAAAAACTATTTGGGTTAGTCTATAAACTGTCTATGAAAATAGTTCAACACTGTTTAAAGTAACTCAGGCTGAAATTGGATGGGTTACCTTAATCTTAATTAGGAGATTTTTAACAGTTTATCTCAAAGTGTAAATCAAGGACATTGACAGATGGAAAACATCACAAGTATACTAATCTATTTCTCTTTGACATAGAATTAAAATCTGATTCTCTGTTAAAGCAATGTGTTAAAGTAATCTATTATGTTCTCTTGATATCTGTTAAATTCTAATTGTTTAAAAACAACTGAGTTTTTATTAAGAGCTATGGGTTATTTAAATATGTGCTTATTTTCAAACATTTGAATAATCACCTTGTAACAATGATTAAATTTGGTCTATATTATGTCATGATTTTAAGGAATCTTATTTCAACCAGATATTTTGGATTTTGAGCCTTCTTGACAGGCATTCAAAAAATCAAAGTTTCAAAGAATTTGGACTCTGAAATTTCCAGTAAATTTTGGACTTTGGTTTTTCCAATTCAGGCCCAACTGAAAAAAATCGAAGGATATATGTCTCTCATCTTGTAGAGACACCAACTAATCAGGCTATTTGGACTACATTAGTACTGTCAAGATGTGAAGTGGTGCTAAATTTTAAGTTTCTATAATATAAAAAGTCTAATGATAATATGAAATGCTATTGATAGAAATGTCTGAGAATTAAAAAGTCTAGTGATCTTGTGTTATTAGACATGATAGTTATCTTAATGAGAAAGCCCCAGAGACCTAAAGGGATGAATGCTTTGTAAAATCCTACAGGTGCTTTCAAAAATACTGTGAAGTAAGCAAGTGCCTCTTGTTGGTTAATGAGTTTAAAATTTTAAACATGGCAACTTAAAGTCTTTTGTCATCTACAGTTTTATTTATCAGATTTGCTGCTCATAAAACTAAAGTGTTGTTGGTTCTGTGTTTAGCTGTCCTCTTATAGGTGCTGATGGAATTTTTCCAGCCACTTCTATTGTATTCAGTACTTTGGGACAGCTCTGTAAATGAAGCCAATAATGTATTAAAGGTACCAACTGAGAGAAAGTATGGTTAACTGAGGTTACTAAAAACAAAAAGTAATTCAAATTAATTGGTAATTTACAAACAAGAGTTATATTTTTTAAAAAAGCTATTAAAACTGCTATATTGGTCTATTATGTTATATGTGTATACATATTGTATGTCTACATGGGAAAATTTATTAAAAGTTTTCTTTTAATTTGGCTTATAGATACAAGATTGCTTATCAATTTAAACTACTAAAATTAATCAAAGATACATTTTAATTTGTATAACCTGAATCTCTGTATCATATGATTTAAACTTGATGGTAGAAAGAAACTAAAAACATTCTATATGCTTGCGCTTAAGTTTGCTGGTTAAACAAGCTACACCATGTTAGATATTTAAGAGATGTTTCCAAATTTATGTATTCTTAATATTTATGGAAGGCATTGGACCTTCTGGTAAATGTTTTCTTAAGTTGTTATCTAATGGTTAAAACTGTTTCCTAAGTTTTCATTTGATATTGCTGTTGTCA